TGGTAGAAACATTAGATTGGCAACAGACCTATCCACAGAGACCTGGCAGGCCAGAAAGGACTGGCATGATATCTTCAGAGCACTAAATGAGAAAAATATGCAGCCAAGAATACTATATCCAGCTAGGCTGTCATTGAAAATAGAAGGAGAGATAAAAAGCTTCCAGGACAAACAAAAACTAAAGGAATTTGCAAACACGAAACCAGCCCTCCAAGAAATATTGAAAGGGGTCCTCTAAGCAAAGAGAGAGCCTATAAGCAACATAGACTAGAAAGGAACACAGACAATATACAGTCACAGTCACCTTACAGGCAATACAATGGCACTAAATTCATATCTTTCAATAGTTACCCTGAATGTAAATGGGCTAAATGCCCCAATGAAAAGACACAGGCTATCAGATTGGATTAAAAAACAAGACCCATCGATATGCTGTCTGCAAGAGACTCATTTTAGACCCAAAGACACCCCCACATTGAAAGTGAGGGGGTGGAAAACCATTTACCATGCTAATGGACACCAAAAGAAAGCTGGAGTGGCAATTCTTATATCAGACAAACTAGATTTTAAAGCAAAGACTGTAATAAGAGATGAGGAAGGACACTATATCCTATTTAAAGGGTCTATCCAACAAGGAGATCTAACAATTGTAAATATCTACACCCCTAACATGGGAGCAGCCAATTATATAAGCCAATTAATAACAAAAGCAAAGAAACACATTGACAACAATACAATAATAGTGGGGGACTTTAACACCCCCTGACTGAAATGGACAGATCATCTAAGCAAAAGATCAACAAGGAAATAAAGACTTTAAATGACACACTGGACCAAATGGACTTCACAGATATATTCAGAACATTCCATCCCAAAGCAACAGAATACACATTCTCTAGTGCCCATGGAATATTCTCCAGAATAGATCACATCCTAGGTCACAAATCAGGTCTCAACTGGTACCAAAAGACTGGGATTGTTCCCTGCATATTTTCGGACCACAGTGCTTTGAAACTAGAACTCAATCACAAGAGGAAAGTCGGAAAGAACTCAAATACATGGAGGCTAAAGAGCATCCTCCTAAAGAATGAATGGGTCAACCAGGAAATTAAGGAATTCAAAAAATTCATGGAAACAAATGAAAATGAAAACATAACTGTTCAAAATCTTTGGGATGCAGCAAAGGCAGTCCTAAGAGGAAAGTATATAGCAATACAAGCTTTTCTCAAGAAATAAGAAAGGTCTCAAATACACAACCTAACCCTTCACCTAAAGGAGGTGGAGAAAGAACAGCAAATAAAGCCTAAACCCAGCAGGAGAAGAGAAATAATAAAGTCAGAGCAGAAATCAATGAAATGGAAACCAAAAGAACAATAGAACAGATCAACGAAACTAGGAGCTGGTTCTCTGAAAGAATTAACAAGATTGATAAACCCCTGGCCAGACTTATCAAAAAGAAAAGAGAAATGACCCAAATCAACAAAATCATGAATGAAAGAGGAGAGATCACAGCCAACACCAAAGAAATACAAACAATTATAAGAACATATTAGGAGCAACTATATGCCAGCAAATTAGATAATCTGGAAGAAATGGATGCATTCCTAGAGAGGTATCAACTACCAAAACTGAACCAGGAAGAAAGAGAAAACCCGAACAGACCTATAACCACTAAGGAAATTGAAGCAGTCATCAAAAATCTCCCAAGAAACAAAAGCTCAGGGCCAGATGGTTTCCCAGGGGAATTCTACGAAACATTTCAAGAAGAATTAATACCTATACTTCTGAAACTGTTCCAAAAAATAGAAATGGAAGGAAAACTTCCAAACTCATTTTTTGAGGCCACCATTACCTTGATCCCCAAACCAGACAAAGACCCCATCAAAAAGGAGAATTACAGACCAATATCCGTGATGAACATGGATGCAAAAATTCTCACCAAAATACTAGCCAATAGGATCCAATAGTACATTAAAAGGATTATTCACCACAACCAAGTGGGATTTATCCCGGGGCTGCAAGGTTGGTTCAACATCCTCAAATCAATCAATGTGATACAATACATTAATAAAAGAAAGAACAAGAATCATAGGATCCTCTCAATAGATGCAGAAAAAGCATTTGACAAAGTACAGCATCCTTTCTTGATCTAAACTCTTCAGAGTATAGGGACAGAGGGTACATACCTCAATATCATAAAAGCCATCTATGAAAAACCCACAGCGAATATCATTCTCAATGGGGAAAAAGTGAGAGCTTTCCCCCTAAGGTCAGGAACACAGCAGGGATGTCCACTATCACCTGCTACTCAACATAGTATTAGAAATCCTAGCCACAGCAATCAGACAACAAAAAGAAATCAAAAGCATCCAAATCAGCAAAGAAGTCAAAACTCTCACTCTTTGCAGATGATATGATACTTTATGTGGAAAACCCAAAAGACTCCACCCCAAAACTGCTAGAACTCATACAGGAATTCAGTCAAGTGGCAGGATATAAAATCAATGCACATAAATCAGTGGCATTCCTATATACCAACAAGGCAGAAGAAAGAGAAATTAAGGAGTTGATCCCATTTACAACTGCACCCAAAACCATAAGATACGTAGGAATAAATCTAACCAAAGAGGCAAAGAATCTGTACTCAGAAAACTATAAAATACTCATGAAAGAAATTGAGGAAGACACAAAGAAATGGAAAAACGTTCCATGCTCATGGACTGGGAGAACCAACATTGTGAAGATGTCAATGCTACCTAGAGCAATCTACACATTCAATGCAATCCCCATCAAAATACCATCAACTTTTTTCAAAGAAATGGAACCAGAAGAGACCCCGAATAGCCAGAGGAATGTTGAAAAAGAAAAGCAAAGCTGGCAGCATCACAATTCCGGACTTCCAGCTCTATTACAAAGCTGTCATCATCAAGACAGTATGGTACTGGCACAAAAACAGACACATAGATCAATGGAACAGAATAGAGAGCCCAGAAATGGACCCTCAACTCTATGGTCAACTCATCTTTGACAAAGCAGGAAAGAATGTCCAGTGGAAAAAAGACAGTCTCTTCAACAAATGGTGTTGGGAAAATTGGACAGCCACACGCAGAAGAATGAAACTGGACCATTTCCTTACACCATACACAGAAATAGACCCCAAATGGTTGAAAGACCTAAATGTGTGACAGGAGTCCATCAAAATCCTAAAGGAGAACACAGTCAGCAACCTCTTTGACCTCAGCCACAGCAACTTCTTCCTAGAAACATCACCAAAGGCAAGGGAAGCAAGGGCCAAAATGAACTATTGGGATCTCATCAAGATAAAAAGCTTTTGCACAGCAAAAGAAACAGTCCACAAAACCAAAAGACAACTGACAGAATGGGAGAAGATCTTTGCAAATGACATACCAGATAAAGGGCTAAACATGAACAGACATTTTTCCAAAGAAGACATCCAAATGGCCAACAGACACATGAAAAAGTGCTCAACATCACTCGGCCTCAGGGAAATCCAAATCAAAACCTCAATGAGATACCACCTCACACCAGTCAGAATGGCTAAAATTAACAAGTCAGGAAACAACAGATATTGGTGGGGATGCAGAGAAAGGGGAATCCTCCTACACCGTTGGTGGGAATACAGCCGGTGCAGCCACTCTGGAAAACAGTATGGAGGTTCTTCAAACAGTTGAAAATAGAGCTACTGTACGATCCAGCAATTGCACTACTGGGTATTTACCCCAAAGATACAACTGTAGGGATCTGAAGGGGTACATGCACCCCAATGTTTATAGCAGCAATGTCCACAATAGCCAAACTATGGAAAGAGCCAAGATGTCCATCGACAGATGAATGGATAAAGAAGAGGTGGTATAGATATACAATGGAATATTATGCAGCCATCAAAAGCAATGAAATCTTGCCATTTGCAACGACGTGGATGGACCTGGAGGGTGTTATGCTGAGCGAAATAAGTCAATCAGAGAAAGACATGTATCATATGACCCCACTGATATGAGGAATTCTTAATCTCAGGAAACAAACTGAGGGTTGCTGGGGTGGTGGGGAGTGGGAGGGATGGGGTGGCTAGGTGATAGACATTGGGGAGGGTATATGCTGTGGTGAGCACTGTGAATTGTGCAAGACTGTTGAGTCACAGATCTGTCCCTCTAAAACAAATAATACACTTTATGTTAAAAAAAAAAAAAGAAGATAGCAGAAGGGAAAGAATGAAGGGGGGGGATTCAGAGGGAGAGACAAACCATGAGAGACGATGGACTCTGAAAAACAAACTGGGGGTTCTAGAGGGGAGGGGGTGGGAGGATGTGTTGGCCTGGTGATGGATATTAAAGAGGGCATGTTCTTCATGGAGCACTGGGTGTTATATGCAAAAAATGAATTATGGAACACTACATCAAAAACTAATGATGTAATGTATGGTGATTAACATAACATAATAATTTAAAAAAAGAAAGAAAAAATATATAACTCAAAAAAAAAAAGCATTAGGCACTGGAAACCAGCAGGTGCTCAAGAAGTGAGCACCTTGTTACTTTACCATTATTTTCTCTCCTATGTTGCTTGTCCAGAACATTCCAGGCGGGCAACCTCCTCTCTTCTCTCTGTAACTGGCACTCCTGCTTGACAAGCCCAGGCACAGAATCACCTTGCCTAACACAGTACCTAATGTGAGCCACAAACTCAATTAAATGTTTGTGATCATGACAACTGCATGAGAAATATTTGCAGAGTGGACACAGAAACCTTCAGAGAATTAAAGCAGAGGGTAAATTGTTCAGTTCCTTCCTTCCCTCTCTACAAAGACACCCAAGCTGGCTACTGTTCCAGAATAACTGGAGGGCGAAAATAGCCTCCTTTTTCCATTACTAAAGAGCAAGATGCCCTTTCTTAAAACTTACCCAGGCATTAATCATTGAACATTTTCTATTATACTTATCACTACTCTTTATAATGAAAATATCACTTTGAGAAAATCAGACTTAATAAGATAATTCCAAGTTTTATTGAATATGCTTTACAAATGGGCATTTTGATTGACATATCCAGGTACTTACTACAAATCAAAAAACCAAAACTTAATTTTAAAACCTAAAGCAATCTTCCTGCTTCTAAAACCTTATAGAACAGCCTAAAGTTTCTTTCTTCCAGTACTTCCTTTTTTTTTTTTTTTTTTTTTAGCAAGGAGAGAATGATCCATGCAATCACAGGTGAGAGCGGAAGACATTAATGTCAATTTTGTTTAGTTTAACTTCCAACACTTCTTGACTTTAATGAAGTCAATGAAGCCTGGTTCAGGCTACCTTCTCTTCAGAAAGAACCTAAGATACTGTAGTTTTTTGTTTGTTTATTTTTTTCCCCAGATCCTCCCATTACAAAGCTCCATCTTGACCACCACAACGAGGATAAGTGGAAAATACATCAGACTTAATGCCAGAAAATATGTTCAAATCAAGACAGTGATACTTCCTAGCTATGTATTAGAGCAAATCAACATGCCTCTATCCTCATCTGCAAAATGAGGATAACAGCATTTACCTTGCAGGATTGTTTTGAAAACTAAAAGAGAAAATATGTAGGTGTAATTTATAAATTATAAAGCACCATTAAAATGTAAGGTAGCATTATTATTCATGTATGAAGATGGTTCATTCATTTTTCAATGAATATTTATGTGGCAGACTTTTTGCTAAGCATTAATGATACATTTTATATATATATATATCTCATTTTATATATATATATATATAAAACTCATTGGCACTTGAGCTCTTACAGTCCAGTAGGGAAGAAGCATGCAAAGGTGGAAAGGAGCATGCTCTGATGTGGCTGTGGGTGCTAGGGAGCCAGAGAGAACACTTGGACTGGGGTGTGGAAAGTGAGGGTGCTCAGGGGACTTCTTGGAGAGTTGACACTGGAATTGTTTCACTACAAATTCAAAAACAAGAAAACAAATTCAAGTCACTCCTCTGTGAGGTGGTCCACATAATCCATGGTCCTGGGCCCCAAGTCAGTTCAAAGGTGTCCTGATCCCTTAAGGCAGAGTTTCGCAGTCTTGGTACCACTGCTATTTTAGGCTGGATAATTTCATGTTGTGGGGGGCTATCCTGTGCACTGTAGAATGTTTGGCATCATCCCTGACCTCCATCTACCAGATGCCAATAATATCCCCTTATCTTCTAGATTTGAAACCAAAAGCATCCCGGACACTGCCAAATGGCCCCTCAGGGGCAAAACTGCCCCCAGTTGAGAACTACTGCCATAAGGTCATAGAAAACCAGTGCAGGTGGTTCTAGAAGGAATGGAATTCATACAATTAGTGCCTAGGCTTATCCTAGGTGCTCAAAAAATATTGAATGAATGAATAAGTGGAGTCAATGAATGAATGAGCTTCCTGGAGTCCCCTTGACATATTCCTTTTGGGATCCATCCAGAAGATCCCTGGGCTGGTAATTAAGTTCAAAAGTACCCACGTGAGTAATAACAATAACACAACATGCATTTATACAGTGCTCTGTAAAAATTGTGTGATCTTGGGCAAGTAGTTCAAACTGTCTGAGTCTCAAGTCTGCCAGTTCTTATGTGGAGATAACAAACCCTAGCTTGCAAGGTCATTAGGAGAACCAAATGAGATAATCAAGCATTAGAGGTCTAAGCACTCACTCCTTCGGTGCAACTGATAAGAGGACTCTTAGCAGGATGCCCCCCCACCCAGTTCCTGCCACTAAGCTTTACCTGTAAGAAGGACAAGGAGGGTAGTTGGAGTATATACTTTTTTGGTTATAAACATGTGGGGAATACTGAGCACTGGTGCCAGGACCTGACACATCCACTATCTAACTCACCCTTGCAAGCAACCAGGTTAGTTAAGAGGCCCAGAGAGTTGTGATGTGCCCAGGATCACACAGCTAAGTAAGTGCCTCCCTGAAAGCAAAAACCTCAGCCACCACTCAAGGCTGACCTTCATCACGCCAATGCTTGTTTGGATTGTGAGTTTTTGGGGAAATGCTTTCTGTATTCTGTGTTCTGTAGTTTCTTATAGACATACATGACCAGATCGGGAAAATTCTCCTGCAAATACTGGAAAGGTTCTCCAATTCTCAACCTCATCCTGAAATGAAACACAAATGTATTAGCATGGTTGCCCCCAGATCATCTTCCCCCTTTATAGCATCTGGGCCCGGAGATCTCTTTGCTCCCTCAATTTCTAGAGCAGAGCACGTCAGGACTTTGGAATCTGACAGAACAAGATTTATCTCCTAACAACTCTTCAGCTAATTGGCAACTTAATTTTTGTGAACCCCAGTTTAATCATTCATAACATGGAGATGATATAGTTCCACAATCTCTTACCTACAGTTCCAAAATCCAAAAGAGCCCTGAAAACTGCAAGGTTTTTTGAGTTTGCAACTACCATTTTGGGCAGCAAAAGCTGATTTCACTAACACGGGTCTACTTTTTAGACATTTACAGTGCTACATTCACCTTACCCAGCTGCCCATTCCCCTGCATTGCTTCCCACAAGGGAGTCAGTACCCTTCTGTTCAAGAGGGCTCAGCAAAAGCTAAGAAGGAAGATGAGAGCCTGCCAGGCACGTCCATCATTCATTGTTCTTACAACGTGTTGGCCCTTTTCCAAACAGAGGGAAGGAATTACTTTTCATTTCATCAAAACAAATTTTCTTCTTTCTAACAAATAGCAGATATAAATTTAGAATGGGATTTTTTAATCATCCTCATTTCATATATGACTTACAGGAACAGAAATAATACTCACTCCTTATTTTTTTCTTCATTAATATGTTCTCCCAGATTCCGGATGAACTTTAGCAGATCTTGCACAGTGTCCTGATAAGGTAATTTTTTGTTTATCTCATAAAACCTATTCATTTTTTTCATAACATATTTGTCAATCTAAAAAACAAAACATTATGCAAAAAATATGGTAGCACCACAGAATAAATCCTCATGGGATGTTAATACAAAGAGGCAAAATACCAATTTGAATATATGCCCAATTTACCACTAATTAATAGAGCAAATTAATAGAAAGAAATGAATGGAAGTAAATACTATACAGTAATGGTGTCTGGATGCAGGATCATAAGGAACTCTACATTCCAGTCTCTCTTTTCCAAGAGAACTATTTTCATGAGAAATTAAATATACTGAAACATGGTTTAGGAATTCTTTGGCTGTTATACTAGGAAATTTGCTCATCATGCTATGCAGTATTTTTATCCTTGCAGTGACCCATCCGAGTTGGTAACTGATGACATTTCCCCCTTGAAGAGTATTCATTCAGACTAACATCAGACCTGACAGCCACTGCCGAAGCGAGGGTGGTTGTTTTTGTTCGGTTTTGTTTTGAATTCTATTTCCAAAGGTCTCATGTTTCTCCTTGCCTCTAAGTGTCCCAGAGCAGCTTCTCTCAAGTCAACGCCCCTCTCTTTGTGCGCGCACCCTTGTCGATGGCTGTCATATTTAGAAAGCCTGTCTTTGTGGCAGGACGGGGCGGCCTGTGGAGAGGAGGCAGCAGCAAACACTGGAAAACCTGGCTCCTCCACGCTGCCGCAAAGCTGAACATCCGACCGTGAAAATGGGCAAGTCACGAAAAGCAACAGAAAATCAAAGTCTCACATGGGAACTAACAGATAAGACTTGAGTCTGTCAAAATTCAATATACGTCAGTGAAGTTTAGGGGAAAGAACTGATGCACTGGGAAACGAAAGAACAGGTTTTCCCTCCCGGTTCTTCCAATCCCTGCCTCTCCAGTCCTGGCTATTTCAGGTCACACCTCTGAGTCTCAATGTGCTCAGCCATTAAATGGGTTGGTGGACTCGATGGCACCATCACTTCCTGCAGGGAGTGGCTTTAGCACACAGCCTCGGCAGCCAGACTGCCCAGCGGCAGACTCTGGGGCTGGCTCTGGACCGTTGGAAAAAGTGATTTGTCTGTGCCTCTATGGGCCCACCTGTGACACAGAGGCAATGAGCTCAGAGGTTCTTATAAGGATTAACTGTGGAGACTCATAAAGCCCTGGGAATGATAACTGCCATATAGTCAGCACTTAGAGAATTGTCAGCTGTTACTGTCATTGGCTTTGGTTTCAGACTTCTCTATTTCTACAATTTTAAGTTTTAGAAGAGGCTTTTTTTTTTTTTAAGATTTTATTTATTTGAGAGAGAGCATGAGCAGGTGGAAGGGGCAGAGGGAGAGGGCAAAACAGGCTTCCCACCGAGCAGGTAGCTGGGCACAGGGCTTGATCCCAGGACCCTGAGATCATGACCTGAGCCCAAGGCAGACTTAACCGACTGAGCCACCCAGGCACCCCTTAGCTGAAGTTTTATAGACCTTCATTAGCAGAGTCATGGTGCACCTACTCCATGCCAGGAATTCAGTAGTGGACAAGACAACAGACAATCTCTTCCCTTGTGAAATTTACAGGGTAGCCAGAAAGATGGACACCAAGGCAGCAATTATGAGTGTGATGTATCATCTAGGGGCAAGCGAGGGAAGGAAAGCAAAATGAGACCCAGAAACAAAGAGGTATGGGAGAAGCAGTCCTAGATCAGACAAAGCATAGGGAAGCTGTTGGTCTCAGTCAAAGAGCTGAGGATTATGGACTCTCCCATAGTGCTTTGCACAGTCTCTGGACTGCTCAGCATGCATCCCACAGGCAATGTTTCCGTGGGTCTCTCAGCCCTGTATGGACCATGCTGTACTCTGCTTCACATGCCCATGGCCTCGTGTGGGTCCAGCAGGTAACTGGTACTTGATAGATGTCTGCTAAGTAATAATAACGAAAGTTCTGGGAGGTGCCTAGGTGACACAGTTGGTTAAGTGTCCAACTCTTGGTTTCGGCTCAGGTCATGATCTCAGAGATATAGCCCTGCCTCGGGCTCCACACTCAGCACAGAGTCTGCTTAAGATTCTCTCTCTGTCTCTCCATCTCCCTCTACCCCTCCCCCCTCCCTGCTCTCACACACACGCACACACTCTCTCTGAAGATAAATAAATCTTAAAAAAAAAAATGAAAGTTCTGATAGCACCGACTAGATTGAGATGATGGCTGATTTTTTATGTTTTACTATATTTAGTTCAAGTTAGGTGGACCCTTTCCTGAAGAGGAGGAATTTGAAAGATCATCTTTTCTTCACGGTGTTTTCTCAGGCAGAAGGTAGATGTGTGTGTGGCTGGTCAGAGCAGGGCTGTACACAGACAGCAGAGGCAGCCAATCGCTCTCTGGATGAGAAGCCTCACGGTGGAGCAGCTCCTTGAGGTTAAACTCTTATTTAATCAGCTGCTCTTGTCACAGTAGTAATAAGATAATTAGCCAGGCCTCTCTTAAAACCAAGGTTGGAAGGAAAGAGCCCTAAGAAAGGAAAAGGCTCCTGGGCTGGGACAAGGCCTTCCTAAAGAGGAGTGTAGATGAGAGCCTGTCTGTCAGGGGGGCCCGGCCTCTGAAAGATGGAGCAGGGACTCAACAGGGCAGAGGGGGACTGGGATGGAGAGATGGGCCGGGAAATCACCTCTTCCACCCCCTGGTTGAGCCAAGCCAACAATAAAAAAAAAAAAAGTTAGAAAAACTAACTTAACACATTATACAGATCCTTATTTCTAGAATAACTTCCAGACCATAGGAACTGTTCATACCTTAGAAGTCCACTGGGCAAAACTGGAACATTCAGATTTTTCAGGTTGTAGTAGTTGGACAATCCTCCTTGTAAGCAATCCTTTTTTAATGTCAGATTCATTTCCCACATCCCTAAGGGTCCTATAGCGGCTGAGGATGACAGAATTATCATGGTCATTCCATTTGCCCTCTCTTTTCAGAAGGAAAACAATGTTACATTTTGCTTTTTGATAAAAGTAGTAAAACCATGTCTCTAAAAATTCTGCATGATGAGAGAGGCATGCAGGCATCTTTTTCTCTCTCTCTTTTGCTGTTCTTCAGAAAACAAAACCAGACAGACGCCTGGGTGGCTCAGTCAGTTAAGCGTCTGCCTTTGGCTCAGGTCATGATCTCAGGGTTCTGGGATCGAGCCCCACATCGGGCTCCCTGCTCCGCGGGGACTCTGCTTCTCCCTCTCCCTCTGCCTACTGCTCTGCGTACTTGTGCTCTCTCTCTATCTCTCTATCAAATAAATAAAATCTTTAAAATAAAGAAAACAAAACAAAAACAGAATCTAGACAGGTTAAGTCACTAATCCAAAGATACACAGCCAGGAAATGCCAAACTGAGAGGAGAGCCTGGGTTTGTTGATTCCTAGCCTGACTCATTCCCACACCTCCTTACCACTATGGTTAATATCATGTGTTAATTTGTCTGGCCACAAGGGGCCCAGATTAAATATTATTCTAGGTGTATCTGTGAGGTGTTTCCAGATGAGATTCGCATTTGAGCTGGTGAACTCAATAAGGCAGATCACCATCCCCAATGTGAATGGGGCACATCCAACCCACTGATGGCCTATTTAGAATAAAAGATGGAGGAGGGAGAAAGATGGCAGAGGAGTAGGGGACCCTATTCCAACCAGTCCCCGGAACGGAGCTGGATATCTACCAGATGACTCTGAACACACATGAAATCAGCCTGAGATGTAAGAAGATAGATCTGGATCTCTACAAATAGAATATTGCAGGCAGTTGGTTTCAAGGTACAAGCAGGGAGCCGGGATTCCACGGGCAGATGTCGGAGGATAAACAGAGGCGGAGGGGGCTGTGGGTATCCTACACCACCGGTGAGCAATGGCCACCTGTGCTGGGGCTGGGGCACAGACTTGCAGACCGGTAGCAGTGGGGAAAGGACTTTAGGGCAGCCCCCCCAGAGGGAAACCCAGAGCGGGGCCGAGTGTGCGAACTTGGGGCGGCTGGAGGTGTTAGAAGCACAAAGGGCAGAGATGTGCCCTGACCTGGAGGCAGGACTGGGAGCCCTGTAGAGGGGCGCACAACCCAGGACGCTGCTATTTATAGCAGCACAGACAGAAACTGAGATAGTGTGGCCTGGAGAGCTCACTGAAGAACAGACGGCCATCTCTCTGTTCTGAGGCAGAGGGTTGGAAACGCTCTCTTCTGCTCTCTCAGAAGAGATGCAGAAAGCTGCCAGGGAAAGCCCCCAGAGAACAAAAGCCCCACAAAACCGGTTTTCACTGAGCCCATCCCCCACCATAGGGGGCAGGGCAACTCTGCCCAAACAGGGTTGCCTGAGTAACAGTGAGGCAGGCCCCTCCCCCAGAAGACAGGCTGGGAAAACAAGAGGCCAGCAACACTAAGGTCCCTAGAAAACAGGTGCATCTTGCTTGGGTTGTGGTCAATAATTTGGACTCTATACATTCCCTCAACCACCCCTCAACAGAATGACTAGGAGGAGGAACCCCCAAAATAAGAAAGACTCAGAGATTATGATTTATGCCAAAGATTTACAAATGGATTCAGATATAACCAAGATATCAGAGATGGAATTCAAGCTAGCAATTGTGAAGACAATGGCTAGAATGGAGAAATCAATTAAGGGCAACATAGAGTCTCTAAGGGCAGAAATGAAAGCTGAATTGGCAGAATTTAAAAATGCTACCAGTGAGATCCAATCTAATCGAGATAATCTAACAGCTAGCATAAGCAGGGCAGAAGAATGAATTAGTGACTTGGAAGACCATTTAATAGATAAAAAGGGAAAAGAGGAGGCTAGGGAAAAACAACTCAAAATCCATGAAAATAAAATCAGAGAAATAAGTGACACCATGAAACGTTCCAATGTCAGAATTATTGGGATCCCTGAGGGGGTGGAGAGAGAGAGAGAGAGGACTAGAAGATATAATTGAGCAAATTGTAGCTGAGAACTTCCCTAATCTGGGGAATGAAACAAACATTCATGTCCTAGAGGCAGAGAGGACCCCTTCCAGGATCAAGGAAAACAGGCCAACACCCCGGCATGTAATAGTAAAACTCAAAAATCTTAGAACCAAGGAAACCATCTTAAGGGCAGTTGGGGGAAGAGATTCCTTACGTACAGAGAGAGGAACATCAGAATAATGTCAGACCTATTCACAGAGACCTGGCAAGAGAGAAAGGCCTGGAAAGACATATTCAGGGTACTAAACGAGAAGAACGTGCAGCCAAGAATACTTCATCTGGCAAGGCTGTCATTTAGAATGGATGGGAGAGATGCAGAGCTTCCAAGACCAACAGAAACTGAAAGAACATATGACCACTGGGCCGGCCCTGCAAGAAATATTAAGGGGGGTTCTATAAAAGGAGAAAGATATAGAAAAGAAATTTACAGGGACAATCTATAAAAACAAGGTCTTCACAGGCAACATGATGACAATAAATTCATATCTTTCAATAATCACTCTCAATGTGAATGGCCTAAATGCTCCCATAAAACGGCACAGGGTTGCAGACTGGATAAAAAGACAGGACCCATCCATATGCTGTCTACAAGAAACTCATTTTGAACCTAAAGATACATCCAGACTGAAAGTGAAGGGATGGAGATCCATCTTCCATGCCAGCAGACCTCAAAAGAAAGCTGGGGTAGCAATTCCTATATCAGACAAATTAGATTTTAAACTAAAGATTGTAGTTAGAGACACAGAAGGACACTGTATCATTCTTAAAGGGTCTATCCAACAAGAAGATCTAACAATTGTAAATATCTAGGCCCCCCCAACATGGGAGCAGCCATCTACATAAGCCAACTGTTAACCAAAATAAAGAGTCACATTGATAACAATATGTTAATTGTAGGAGACCTCATCTAAGCAATAGACAAATCATCTAAGCAGAAAATAAACAAAGAAACAAGAGCTTTGAATGACACACTGGACCAGATGGACCTCATAGATATATACAGAACATTCTACCCTACAACAACAGAATATTCATTCTTCTTGAGCACACATGGAACTTCTCCAGAATAGACCACATACTGGGTCACAAATCAGGTCTCAACCAATATCAAAAGATTGAGATTATTCCCTGCATATTCTCAGATCATAATGCTTTAAAACTGGAACTCAATCACAAGAAAAAATTTGGCAGAAATTCAAACACTTGGAAGCTAAAGACCACTCTGCTCAAGAATGTTTGGGTCAGCCAGGAAATCAAAGAAGAACTTAAACAATTCATGGAAACCAATGAGAACAAAAACACATTGGTCCAAAACCTATGGGATACTGCAAAGGCAGTCCTAAGGGGGAAATACATAGCCATCCAAGCCTCACTCCAAAAAATAGAAAAATCCCGAATTCATCAACTAAATCTAAACCTTAAAGAACTAGAGAAAAAGCAATAAACGATGCCTAAGCCATGCATTAGAAGAGAAATAATTAAGATTAGAGCAGAGATCAATGAATTAGAAACCAGAAACACAGTAGATCAGATCAACAAAACTAGAAGCTGGTTCTTTGAAAGAATTAATAAGATCGATAAACCACTGGCCAGACTTATCCAAAAGAAAAGAGAAAGGACCCAAATTAATAATTGTGAATGAAAGGGGAGAGATCACAACTAACACCAAGGAAATATAAATAATTATTAGAAATTATTATCAACAACTCTATGCCAATAAACTGAGCAATGTGGATGAAGTGGATGCCTTCCTGGAAACCTATAAACTGCCAAGACTGAAACAGGAAGAAACTGACAACCTGAATATGCCAATAACCAGTAACGAGATTGAAGCAGTGATCAAAAGCCTCCCAAAAAACAAGAGTCCAGGGCCTAATGGATTCCCTGGAGAATTCTACCAAACATTCCAAGAAGAAATAATACTTATTCTCCTGAAGCCATTTCAAAAAAATAGAAACAGAAGGAAAGCTTCCAGACTCATTCTATGAGGCCAGCATTACCTTAATCCCCAAACCAGACAAAGACCCCAACAAAAAGGAGAATTTCAGACTGATATCCCTGATGAATACGGATTCCTAAATCCTCAACAAAATCCTAGTTAATAGGATCCAGCAATACATTAAAAGGATCATCCACAACAACCAAGTTGGATTTATCCCCAGGATGCAAGGGTGGTTCAACATTCGCAAATCAATGAATGTGATAGGACACATTAATAGGAGGAGGGAGAAGAACCATATGGTCCTCTCAATTGATGCAGAAAAAGCACTTGACAAAATACAGCATCCCTTCCTGATTAAAACTCTTCAGAGTATAGGGATAGAGGGAACATTCCTCAAGTTCATAAAATCCATCTATGAAAAACCCACAGTGAATGTCATCCTCAATGGGGAAAAGCTGAGAACCTTTCCCTTAAGATCAGGAAGACATCAAGGATGCCCACTCTCACCACTATTGTTCAACATAGTACTAGAAGTCCTAGCAACAGCAATCAGACAACAAAAAGAAATAAAAGCTATTCAGATTGGCAAAGAAGAAGTCAAACTCTCTCTTTTCACAGACGACATGAATACTTTATGTGGAAAACCCAAAAGACTCCACCCCAAAATTACTAGAACTCATACAGCAATTCAGTAATGTGGCAGGATACAAAATCAATGCACAGAAATCAGTTGCTTTCTTATACAAAACAATGCAACTGTAGAAAGAGAAATTAGAGAAACAATTCCACTTACAATTGCACCAAAAACCGTAAGATACCTCGGAATAAACCTAACAAAAGAGGTAAAGGATCTATACTCTAGGAACTACAAAACACTCATGAAAGAAACTGAAGAAGACAAAAAAAGATGGAAAAACATTCCATACTCATGGATTGGAAGAATAAATATTGTTAAAATGTCTATGCTACCCAGAGCAATCTATACCTTCAGTGCCATCCCGATCAAAATTCCAATGACATTTTTCAAAGTGCTGGAACAAACAATCCTAAAATTTGTATGGAACCAGAAAAGACCCCAAATCGCCAAGGAAATGTTGGAAAAGAAAAACAAAGCTGGGGTCATCATGTTGCCCGATTTCAAGCTATATTACAAGCTAAGCTGATCACCAAGACAGCATGGTACTGGCACAAAAACAGACATATAGACCAATGAAACAGAATAGAGAGCCCAGATATGGACCCTCAACTCTATGGTCAAATAATCTTCAACAAAGCAGGAAAAAAATATGCAATGGAAAAAAGTCTCTTCAATAAATGGTGCTGGGAAAATTGGACAGCCACATGCAGAAGAATGAAACTCAACCATTCTCTAACACCATACACAAAGATAAACTCAAAATGGATGAAAGACCTCAATGTGAGACAGGAATCCATCAAAATCCTAGAAGAGAACATAGGCAGTAACCTCTTTGACATCGACCACAGCAACTTCTTTCAAGATACATCTCCAAAGGCTAGTGAAACAAAAGCAAAAATGAACTTTTGGGACTTCATCAAGACAAAAAGCTTCTGCACAGCAAAGGAAAGAGTCAACAGAACAAAGAGGCAACCCACAGAATGGGAGAAGATATTTGCAAATGACACTACAGATAAAGGGCTGGTATCCAAGATCTATAAAGACCTTCTCAAACCCAACACCCAAAAAACAAATAATCAAGTCACAAAAAATGGGCAGAAGATATGAACAGACACTTCTCCGAAGACATACAAATGGCTAACAGACACATGAAAAAATGTTCATCATCATTAGCCATCAGGGAACTTCAAATCAAAATCACATTGAGATACCACCTTACACCAGTTAGAATGACAAAAATGGACAAGGTAAGAAACAACAAATGTTGGAGAGGTTGTGGAGAAAGGGGAACCCTCTTACACTGTTGGTGGGAATGCAAGTTGGTACAGCCACTTTGGAAAACAGTGTGGAGGTGCCTCGAAAAATTAAAAATAGAGCTACCTTATGACCCAGCAATTGCACTACTGGGTATTTACCCCAAAGACACAGATGTAGTGAAAAGAAGGGCCACATGCACCCCAACATTCATAGTAGCAATGTCCGCAATAGCCAAACTGTGGAAAGAGCCGAGATGCCCTTCAACAGATGAATGGATAAAGAAGATGTGGTCCAGATATACAATGGACTATTACTCAGCCATCAGAAAGGATGAATACCCAACTTTTACATCCACATGGATGGGACTGGAGGAGATGATGCTAAGTGAAATAAGTCAAGCAGAGAAAGTCAATTCTCATATGGTTTCACTTATTTGTGGACCATAAGGAATAGCAGGGAGGACATTAGGAGAAGGAAGGGAAAAATGAAGGGGGGGACTCGGAGGGGGAGACGAACGATGAGAGACTATGGACTCTGAGAAACAAACTGAGGGTTCTAGAGGGG